GGCTTTCTGTTATTTATTATGGTATTTTTTATTACAGTGAGGATGAGATCAAGCAGAAAACTCAAATTCTACTGGAGCAACAAAACAGTAGAAAATTCACAGAATCTAGAAAATATTTGTTCTTAACCAAAGTACATTTAGGTCGAGTCAGAAAACTATAGTTTAGCTCAATTTACATTTTAAACAAATGCTTTTGTTTCTGACTTTATTAGATGTGACAACCTGCTGCTGATGGCAACAAGCCAACATTAGACAATTCAATTCAAAGATACTTTATTAATCCCAGAGGGAAATCAGAGTTTCAGTACACACAATTCAGAGATCAGACATACATACATAGACACATGACAAGAATTGGTGACTGTGGTCATTCGCAACCCGAGTCGCACTACCGTAATAGATCAAGAGGGTTTATATGAGGATAGAGTCAGGAGGAGGGGAATAAAGACACTTCAGAGTTACCCTCAACAGAGAGGGCAGCTTTGCTATGCAAAAAAAAAAAAAACACCTCAGACAGAAATGCAACAGACTTCAGACATTACACAACATAAGTGTCCACTAGGTGGGGAGGTAGGGTTGGAGACTCTCCACACATCAGTGCCTGCAGCCCCATGGAGCAGCGCTCATCACCTCCATTTGGACAGGGGAGGGAGATAATGGGTTAGAGGGCACATTGACTCCTAGATACGGTTCCACGGCCTTCACCGGTCACAGTCCTGTCCAGGCTGGGATAGGGAGAAAGAGTTTCCATAACGACGGCAGCATTCCACATTTCTTCTGAAGGGAGTTTACACTTCAGCCTCACAGGCTCCAAGGGCACCAAATTCTGACAAGAATTGTTTTGGGGCAGACAGAGATCATTTCCTCTCTGCCTTAGAGTTCTGTTGGTCTACAACCCCTCTAGATCCAATAATGGCGTGATTCATCTATCCCAATCTGTGCTGATCCGTCAACTCTCTCCTTGGTGGAATCCACCTTCTGTGCCAGAGCCTGAATGTCAGGCTTGTGCATTCACAGCGTGATGCATTCCATGAGCTCCAGGATTGAACCAATATTCCTCCAAAGATTGTTAATTTTCCGGTAAGCCAGGTTACCGCTCAGGCCAAACAGCAGGAATCCCGACACCAAAACGACGAATATCCAAACATCTTCAGACAGTTGAGAGAGGCAGATCAGGTTCCACTGTTTCCAGGAGTCCATGATATACCCAGCTGGCTCTGTCCCAGAGGGGCATCCGGGTGTCACGTTGAGAGCGGGAGGAGCTTAGGACCCAAGGTGCTGAACACCAGACAACGCGAGGCAGGAGCGAATGTAAAAAGTAAAATCCTTTATTTAGGATGATAACCAAAACATTCAAAGGGCAGGAAGCCAAAACCGAATAACAAAACTCTGACAAAAACCAAAAGCTCACTTTCTGAGCAAGGGACCTCGAGACCGGGGGGGGGTGGGGGGGGGGGGGGGTGACACACAACAATGGACCGACACACACACACACAGTGATGAGACAGGGTTATATAGGGGCTAGATGATTGGGAGACGAGGAGCAGGTGCGTGGGAGAGAGAACTGAGGAGAGAACGGTGAGATCAATTAACTAAATGGGAAGGGAAAACCAAGGAGAGGAGGGGATACACCATAACCTGTGTATCTCTAAATAAATAAACCTAACAGACTAAGGGCACAAGAGAACCAAAGATAAATCACTAATGACCAGAGGAGTGAGGGGGACTAATTAACAAGTGGACAAGGAAAACACACACACTAAAATAGACTAATAAAAAGAAAAGTTGAACCTATAGAAAAACTACAGAGGAGTGACTAGGAGAGACCTGAGGGAGACCGGGAGGGAGCTGGGGACACAAAGGAGCATAGAACCTTAGGGGACACCTGAGGGAAACCAGGAGGGAGAACCGGAGAGGGCGGGGGACCCAAAGGACACAAAACCTGCTAGGAGGGGGGAGCCTGAGGGAAACCTGGAAGGGGCTGGGGACCATGAGGACACAGAACATGACACCGGGAGCCCCTTCTCTCGTTCTCATCGTTGAAAAAATTTTGTCAATCGCGTTGAGAGACCTACTGACCAGATCCATTTTTAACAATTTCCAGTTTCCAGAAAAAAGGCAGAAAGCGCCGTGCACACAAAGACAAGACAAAGAGCCTTGGGATGAGGAGGGAGGGAGAGGAGAAAAAAAGCGTCTGTACTCTCCAAGAGCCGGAAGAACCTGATTTGATGCTTAAAGTATCAGTGAGATCAGATCTTTTCACATGAGTGCAGCCTGATGAGACACTCTGGAGTATCCCTTCATAACATGTGACTAATTGTTTACCCCTTCTTGTTGGTGTAAACAGAAAAATATTGCTGAGGAGGAGTAGTAGTGGTGGGGGAGGAGGGCTAGCGTTGGCATATGACAGAGCTGGAAAATTAATAACAATTTGTGGCAAATAATTACTTATCAATTAAAGCTGTTATCCTGCCTAATTAGGCAGCGTTCATTAAATTCAGCCAATTTAAACCTTAATTAAAGTTAGCAGAGCCTTACAAAGACCGAATCAGTGATGGAGCGCCCCCTAGTGGACGTATTGGGATGGTGGCTTTATCATGGCTTTATCATTAATGCTGTTTTTCATCTTATTATTCTAACTGAAAAATAAACCTTATTTGCATGTAAAAATTTGTGGAGTTAAATGATTTTTTCCATTACTAGAGTAACAAAATAACCTACAACATTCAAAGTGAAAGAATTAACTTTTATTTTTAAAAAGAAGCTAAGTAAAAAATGAATGTTTAGTGTAAAATATTAGAGCAATACCCAAAGATAACAATAGCAGGAGCTGAGGACTTTATAGAACATCTGATTAAATGTAATAATGGCTGCTGATGATTTACAATGAAAAGCTAAACAGACTTGAATGAAAGAACATGTATAAGATAAATAAATCAACCTATTGAAAATTATTTCATACTTTATCTTTGTAAATGTTTACACTGGGGCAGTTTTGGTTGTGATACAAGACAATGTTACAGTTACAGAGGTGCATGCAAAAACAGGAACAGGGAACATTTTTGATGCTCTTCATCAAAAGCATAAAAACTACATTTTAGGTGCATAATGTCTTCTGGCAGACTCCTTCACCTCCTGGCCAGCCAGGCCTGATTTCTAAAGCTGTCACTACCCAGAAGGCTGTGGCCATTTGACAGCAAAGCATGTGTTTCACTGAGCAAGAGGCACAAGGATTGAGTTAATTAATATTGGCTCTTGTTTGGGTCTGGTTAATGAATGAGTAAATTATGCACCTCTGGGACACCACCTCCCCAATCGCTTTAAATTATCCCCCAAACCACTCTTCCAACATTGTCCTCCAATTTCCCCACTCTGATCCTCCACTGATGGGGTCCCTGTCTCCAACCAGATCAACACACACACACACACATCCCCATGATACCCCTGCCATCTCCATCTGTCTGTCTTTGTCCTGCTCTGGTGTGTTTAACTCATTGTGTCCTGCACTTTTTATTGACACCCTTCCTTTTATTCTCATCTCTTTTGATTCAACCTTACATCTGTAGTTTAGGGAGGCAAATGACTTCCATCCCATTAACTCGTTTGACAGGGAAGGCCAGTTAAACAAAGCTTGTCTGCAATCTGACCCCCCCCACACACACACACGCACGCACACACACACACCTGATCTGCATAACACACACACACACACACACACACAACACAGACACACGCTCCAACAAACGCTGCTCCTTATTATTTGCATTAAAAGCTTCACACCGTGAAATTCATTTATAATTACAATGTGAGGAACTGTGTTTGTGTGTGTGTGTGCGTGCGTGTGTGTGTGTGTGTGTGTGTGCGTGCGTGCGTGTGTGCGTGTGTGTGTGTGTGTGTGTGTGTGTGTGTGTGTGTGTGTGTGTGTGTGTGTGTGTGTGTGTGTGTGTGTGTGTTATGCAGATCAGGAATGTGTGTGTGTGGAGGGAATGGTGTTTGAATAGGCTATTTTATGATAGGCTAACATTGAGTGTGTGGTGACAGATTGCAATTATCTTAATATTGAAACTGTCAAAGTCAATTTGCTTCGATCTGGGAAAGCCTTTGAAGATTTTACCATTTTTCCTCTAATTGTTTATTTTTTATTTGGGCTTTAACAATATTTATGAGTTATGAGACAAAAACAATCATCGTGCAGTTTTACAATCTGTATAAGAATTAAAATGTTGATTAATGTAGCTATATATTGTATTGATTAAGGTTTTAGTACCTGATTAATCTGTTTCAACAAAACTTTTAGCAACATCTTGCAAGATTTCTATATAATAATCAAGATGTCATAATGTCACATTCATATAAAACATTTTGACGTTGTCTGCTGGTTAAAAACTCCGATCTAGTTTTATTAATTTAATGTTTCAATCCCTCATTGACAATGAATGCTGATCTTTAACGCACTCTTGTGGTGGTTCGATCAAATTGCACTCATTGCTGTTTTTATTGATCAATAATAATCTATCCGAAGCAGCAAGGATGGATAAACATTTTTTGTTGTTTGATTAATATTTGTGGGACAAACTTTGTTTTGCTGCTTGTTTGAAATATGATTACATTTTTTAAAAATGAGATTGAAATTGGCCTAAAAATTAGCCACAGGAAAGAAATCAATATAAAAAAATGATTGTCGAAAATGTTAACCAAAATTTATATTTATATAGCCTACATTTATACTTTAGATGGCTTCAGCAAATGATAGGTTTACGAGTTGAGAAAAAATAAAATAAACAAGGAAATAAAAATGCACTGTGCTTATCCCACAGTTTGGGGGATTTGCACAAAATTAAACCGAATAAAACAACTTTTCAAATAGCTTTGAAAGCAAATGTGTTCATTTGCCCTATATGAAACGTTGCCGAGGCAACGGTCCCACTACTAACAGGAAGTTCATCAGAAACGTGACCACATTATACGAGTTTAGTTAATACATTCACACACCGGCTGACTGAAAAAGCATGTGTATTTTCATGGAGTAATACTTTTCTATATTTAATTCTGAATGGTTTGTAGAAACGCCGTTGGGACTACGCAGGTCACGTGACCGGGCAAACCTGAATTCGTTCTTCTTAATCAGCACGAGCTGCTTTTTGGAGGCTGTTTGTTGTGTCCTGCTACAATGGCAGAGTCTCGGAGAGTTCCGCTGACCACTTTGAGTCCCGATGTTCAGTTTTCTACCAACAAGCCGGCTCCAGGCCTAAAGATCTCCCCGGGTGTTTTGCAGGAAAACGAACCCCGTTCAGAGGAGCCCCCTGGCAGCAGCAACGTCCGACTGGTTCTCACCTTAATTGAGCCCGACAAGCTGAGCTTTCCGGAGTTTAACTACCGTCAACTTGTTGAAAACGAGGTGGGGTTACGTTTTGACATTAATGATCTCTTAGTAATTGCTCAGCAGCTATTTTATATTTACTTATGTAAAACCTTGTATCCAACTTACAGTCTCCATATGTGATTCAACATTTGTTGTCATGTCCTCATAAAAATGGCGTCCACCTCTTTATTTGTGTTTTGTATAAAACCCTAAAGGCCATGCGTCCTCCTGATGCAATGGCATTTTCCTCTGGCCTCTGTGACCAAATCCTTCAGGTTTTCTTAGGTACGGGTATTAGAGCTCCTTCCCATGTTCCTGATCCTGTCATTCCCAACAAAGGGCTATGCAACTGTATTGAACCCATCTCTGTCCTGTCTGTCAGCAGCCTTTGATATGATCGATCATAGCATCTTGATCTCCAGATTACACACATAGGCTGGCATCACAGGTTTGGCCCTTGACTGGTTTTGGTCTTACTTAACAAGACCCTCCCCACTAGGCTGGACTCATCCCAGTCAGTCCCTTCCCTTGGGGGTCCCTCAAGGTTCCATTCTCTGCCTGTTACTGTTCTCTCTCTTTATTCTGCCTTTACAGGAGCCGTTCTCAGACAGCAACCTGTTTCATACCATTGTCTAATTTCCCTCTGGGATTAATAAAGTATCTTTGAATTTATATGCAGACGACTGTCAAATCTATGTTTTGCTTTAGCCCACTGACTCCACTAAACCTCTGATTTTCTTCATGATGTCAAGGAATGGCTGGCTGAAAACATCCTCCATCTGAATAACTAAAACAGGGGTGCTTGGTTGTTAGTCCCGACAATGTTAGAACGACCTTACCTCCACTGTCTTTATCTTAATGTAACTTCTAGTATTTCCAACCTCAGAGTAAAAATGGACCTGGTTCTGAAGATGGACGCTCGGGTCAATGGCACAGGGAAGCCCTGCTTCTACCACCTTAGGCAAATTTCTAACTTAAAGCCCATACTGAGTGTCCATCTCCTAGAACTGGTGAGTCATGCCTTCGTTACATCCCGACTCTTTCTCCAACTTCAGCTTGTACGGCATTAGTAATTAGTGTCCACACACCAGCTCATCCAGACTTCAGCAGCATGGTTCCTGGTACAGCTGACAGAAGATAGCACATCACACCTGAAAACGCATTACTTCTGCCTGGCCTTCAACCTCTAAACCAGGGGTCCCCAACTAAAACAGCAAGAGGTCCGCTATCACCAAATTTATCCTGGGTCCGAAGATTTTAAATCAATCGACAACATTTTTTTTTCTTTTTTATTCAACATATGTGATTAGCAATATAGATTTTTGTCTCAACTTAGAACAATTATTCATATGCTCATTAAACCATCTGGCTAGCTGAAAATACCATCTACTGGAAGTACTGATAAGGCAAAAAACAGGTGACATTGAAATTATATTGCACACAAATCAGCATTAAGGTGCAAACAAATCACCTAAAACTTAAAGTACAGTCTGGAAAACTAAGTCCTTTAAATTGCACAGAAAACATTTGGAAAAACACCACAGTGTATCATCAATTTTCCATATGCTCACTTAATCATCTGCAGAGCAGAAAAGTGCAATCTAGTCGAAGTTCTAATAATAAAGAGAAAAACTATTAGAAAATGAAATATCCATCGTACCTTAACCAACGTTAAAGATGCAACCAAGTCACCTAAAAATTAGTATTTCCTGAAAAAATAAAGTGGTTTAAATTGCGCAGAAAGTATTCTTGACAGTCATAGTGTAAATAATTATTGATGCCCAATTAATTATCTGCTGAGTAGAAAAGTGCAATTCAGTTGAGTTATTAACAATAAAGGGGAAAAAAACTATTTGACATTGTAATGATGACATTTCTTTACAGATAAATCAATGTTCAGGTGCAAACAATTCACCTAAAAATGAAAACACTTCAGGAAAAATAGGAACTGCTTTAAACTGTGCATAAAATGTTTTTGACCCACAACACAACGTAACTCGCACCATATTGCAAAACATCACTGGCTCTTACTTCAGTGGGAGAGAGAGGTTTGCATGGGCATTTGCTGCTAACGTTTTAAATTGTGGATGGAAGGGGGTTACTGTCATTCTTAAGCATACATGCAAATGTTCATTAGTCAGTTGTGAGCAAAGTTTGTTTTTAATCATGTTAACAGTGGAGAAGGCTGATTCACAACTGTATGTGGATCCAAACATGGTTAAGGTATGCACCACCACTTTAAAAAGTCCAGGAAACATAGTCTTTGGCACAGCCTGCAGCCAGAAGGAAGTATGATCAGATGCTTCACATTTCCCTTTAAACAGTACGTCTGCTTGTAAATCCACATGTTCCATTTGCAGAGAACGTATTTCCACCCATTTGTAGAAACGTGCAGCCTCCTGTGAGAATGCAATGACATCTTTCACCAGAAAGAGATTCTTTATGAAAAGTTGGAGCTGATCTTCCAAAACAAAGCCGTCAAAGCGATCCTTAAAGTTTTCAGTTTTTGTACAAATGCAGCATGTGAGGTGATGTTGGGACCCTGGATCACTTTCACTGATGGAAAATGTGTGCAGTCCTGCTGGAGATCCTGTTTTAGAATGTCGAGTTTTCTCTGAAATGACCAGACAGTTGTTATCAAGTTACACACAGAGATGTTCTTTCCTTGTAATCTCAAATTCAGATCATTGACATGCCCTGTGATGTCAACAAGAAATGCAATTTTGTCCATGTTTTTCTCATCCTCCAGAAACTGCAAAAAAAAAAAAAAAACACTGGCCTTGTGACTTTGCTGCTGTGGCAAAAACTGTATTTCGTGTTGTAGACCCCAGAAGCGTGCAAGCATTCTGCCTTTGCTTAGCCACCTAACATTGGAATGCAAGATGGCCTCTGCATTCACCTCCGCTAAAAATTCATAAAGCAGACGATGCTGATGAGATGAAGCACGGAGAAAGTTAACAAGTTCAGTGACCGTATTCCTCTGAGAGGGAGGAACACCGAACAGACATATGAATAATACAGTGATATGACAACAGGTCCGATTTGTCCTCTTTTAGTCGACTAACTGCTCCTTTTTCTCGTCCTATCATTGAAGATGCCCCACCAGTAACAGAGACAACATCTTTCAGATTAATCCCTCTTTCAGTCAACATTTCTTTAATTGCTGAGTGAATATCCTCCCCTCTGGTGTGTGTTTTTAGTGCTGTGATGCCTAAAAGGTCCTCCACAAAAGCTTTACTGTCCTCATGACAGAATCTGACTTATACCAGAAGCTGGGCATTGTCATTCACATCTGTTGATTCATCAGCTGCTAACAATATGCATGGAGGACTCTGAATAGCACAGTCAAGCTGGGTCTGTACATCTTGGGATGAATCTTCTGCTCTCCTTGTTGTGCTTGTGGCCGACATGGGAATTTGCTCATTTGTGCCATAAATGATTAATAAAATGATTTGATTTATTAGTATGTGATGCATTTAAAGTAATGGTCTTCATCTTTGCTCTAAGATTACTGCAGTGTTCTTGAATCCTGTATCTGAAAATCTGTAAATGATCTAGAAATAAGACTGACTTTAAATTGTCTAACTAGACTAAAAATAACTGGTTTTATATATTAGACTCATCCAGAAATATTTTTAAATACCATGACTTGTTTAAGCAGTTTTTCCAGTTTGGTAAAATATACCAAAGTGAATTTCAGTCTGTCGTCTTTGAAGACGTCTACGGTTAATTTGTCAACACCCATGTTTAGTGACTTGTCATAAGCTGATGATGATGTCCCACAGAGAAGATCAGAACAAGAGGAGAGAGATGTTTCTGCCATTGCAGGAAGATTGAAGGACAAATATGTGAGTAACTCAAATGTAATTTTTTAACTTTGTCATTTACCACTTTGAATCACATTTTGAAGCAATTTGGATCCTGTTTTTTTTTTTTTCAGGGTAGAAAGCACAAGACGACCGACCGTATTCAGGACTTGATTGATATCGGATATGGTTATGACGATGACGATTCTTTCATTGACAACTCGGAAGCTGTGAGTTGCTGTAAAGTAGCACCTAAGTCAAAAGTGTTTATCTTTTCAGGTAAATAACTGCTCTTTTCTTAAACAATTCATTTGTTTTCAGGCTGTCATTCGAGCATTGGGCATTTAGTATTTTATCTTGAGCCCAGCTTATTGCTGTTCGTGGATCATTCTGAACAATACATTCAAAAAGACAAACTCATTCGTCTCACTGACTTGTTCCTATTTAATCTTTCTTTTTTTGATCAACTCTTTATTTGATTTATTTTGGGGTTGGTGTCCAAGTACGATGAGTTTGTGCCATCCTCCATCACGACCGAGTTTGGTGGATTCTACGTGAACTCTGGTAAATTGCAGTTCCGCCAAGCCTCTGAAACCGAGACTGACGACTGCTCAACAGAAGAGGGAACATTTGAGCCCAAGAAGGTTTGTGATGCAGCTGGAGAATGTTCTTTAAGGGGCATTTTTGGCAATTTGAGAAATTGCATTTCAACCTGGGAGATTTAATGGCCAAACTGTTAACATATAGCTTGTTATTGTCAGAAACCCGTCTGTGAACAAGATCAAATGGAGAAGTATTGCAAAACAAGTAGAGTGGTGAAAGGTCCTAAAGATCTGAAGTTAAGGTGAGTCTGACCGGAGCAACAAAGCTCCCTGATGATTTTGGATTTAATTCAGTGTTCATTTACAGCTCTTTGTCTAAAACTGGGCTGAATGAGAGGAAGATGAAGAAGAAAAAGACTATCAAGACTCTGAGTGTCACCAACATGTTGAAGAAGTTTCAGAGGGAGAAGGAACGGCAGAAGAGGAAAGCCAGTCAGCTGGCAGCAGATATGAACACTACCACAGACCCTCTGTTCCCTGCAGATGCAGCTGGAGGCGGCAGCTCTGGTCTGACCGACCCTATCCTCAGTTTAATCGGCTCCACCAATGATCATGCTCTTATCCAAGCAGCCAGCACCGTGGATTTCGATATTGATTTAGACTCTTTATTAGAAGCCAGTGAGGGGAACTTGTCTCCAAAATCACTTCCTCAAACTTTGACCGACGCACAGCTGATCCAAACCAGGACAGACGATCAGACTCGGCTGAACCTTTTGCCTGATGCTGAATCCCGAGTTTTTAATCCGAAGAGCACCTCTCTGCTGAAACCTCATCCAGAGCAACAGCTGCTGCCTGAACTTGGTTTACCACCGTCTGAATGTCTCCTCATGCCAGACGGACTTCCCCCAGCGCTGGAGGAGAGCATCAGAAAGCTCATGGTGGTAAGCAATTGTTAAAAAAATGTTTTGATAAATTTACTAAACAAATATAGGATGTATGTAAATGTGTTGACCAAATTTTCAGGCTGCAAAGACATCAGAGGGAGAGTCAAAACTCAAGTTCTTCAGCCCAGATATCAACTCAATCCTCTTGGAGTGAGTTGTCCCACTTCAGTATTGGTTTAATCAGGATTGTGCTGATGGTATTTCAAAACAAAGGTTTGATGCTGCAATTAGAAAATTGGTTTAAAGGGAAACTTTGCTGTTTTGGCTTGCTTTTAGCACCCCTAGAGCCCTATTTTTAATTCCCTGTTGTAAAACCAAAAGTGAAGCTGTTCACCTTGCTGTGCGTTTGTCTTTTATAAGGAATACTTTGCAGTTTTGGCTTGCTTTTAGCACCCCCTAGTGTTAGTCAAAGCAAAAGTGAAATATCTCCTCGCTGTTCATTTCTTTTTAGCACCTTAATCTAACAGCTGAAATGTCTCCCTAGCCTTTTTAGTTTCTACAGGGGCGATTCGTCACAAAATCAAACGAATCAGCTGATGTAAAATATGCAGAAAAGGTGCTGGAAGCAGACTGCAGTGCCAAGTATGTCAGCTCCACCTTAAGAAGTCCAACAGGGACCGGACCGGCACTCTGAAGTTGCAAGTGCGGTGGCCTGGCCACAAAGGGCAGTGGGGGTCTGAGTGACATTTCATTAACCCTTTTAAAGGCTAATTTTAGCATATAATAATTGTTCAAGAAAGTTATTTAAAACTATGAAAAAGTTGCAAAGTATGACTTCAGCAAGACAGAGCCCTGCTAGGGAGGACTCTGTTCACTGTATGATTAGGATTTTTTTCTATATTTTGACTGAAGTGACCATAACTTCAAAAAATTTACTAATGAATATCTGAAAAACCACCTTTGTCTTAAAATACTGAGATTGTGCTGCCGTTGCCTTGGTCCAGCATTGAACTGCTGTGTCAGGAGCTGAGTGGCCAGCTCCGCTCCAAGGTCTACAGATACCTGGCATTGTTTCTGCCCTGCAGCAAGGAAACTCTTCTCAAGCGTGTGAAGAAACTGTTGGCCACACATGAGGTGAGTGTTTGGGACTTGAAAGATCTTTCCAGGTAAAAAATGTGAAATGTGTACGTTGTAAGCACATATTTAATTCTAAGGAGGAACCTGCATGTGTAGAAGATTCCCTGCAGAAACTGAAGGAAGCCATTGAAAGATCAATGCCAGAGCAGATGGCGTGCTTCCAGGAAAACTGTCAAGCTTATGAGCAACTCAAAATGTCAAAGTAAGATTATCAGCATTTATTTCAGATTTCATTACAAACTGAATCTTGATTTTTAAAAAATGCAATTCTCAAATCCCTGATTTACAAAGATTAAACCGTCGATTTTATTGGACTCCAGCCAAATCAGTCAGGCTTCTATAAACGTTTTGGACAACAGTTTTCTGAAAATAATAAAATTTTCTACCTACTTCTAATGCACAAAGGTGTATGATTTCAAGCAACTGTTTTCAAAGGTGACACCAAAGCGCTTTTTTTTAAGTCGAACCCAAGAGGATTTATGACTCAGCCCATTAACTCTGTAGTTGTTGTATAAACCTAGAAGCTGAACAGACCGTTACTGTACCTGGACTATTCTCTTGTCTGGAACTGTCTCTGTCAGGTCCACAGAAGAGGAAACTGTGGAGGAGAAAATTTTGAGAAGAGGTCCAACCAAGTTGTTCAGATGGAATCAGGAAATCAGGTTCGGTGTTCCTAAGGGTCTCTCCCTGGGTCCTTGATTATCTTTGGAACATCAGACAGATGTTTGTTTTCTCAATCACATGCAGGGAGTGCTTGGGTCACGTGCTGAAGGAGAAAATGGAGAGCTGTAGGAAAGAAGGCAGGAATGACCAAGGCATTGAAGACTACCTTAAAACCCTGCTGCACAATGAAGTGAAACCACTCTGGCCAAAGGGATGGGTTCAGTTTAGGTATGCAAAGCCCGCATTTGCTGGAAGTATCTTCAACCACAGTCGAGGCAAACTACTTTGAATTTGTTTCAGGACGCTGATGAGGGAGAGCAGGAAGTTGTTGGGCCTTGTTCCTTCATTGCAGTGAGTTCAACAACTCCAGCTCAAAGGTAGTTTTGTTTCCAGCATTCCTTTATAGCCACATTTAACACTGTGAATGTTCTCATGTGTTCAGAGGAAACAAGACCAAGCTTTTGAAGAAGCAGTACTCTACTGGTGGTGCTTGTAGGTCTTCAGATGGCTGCACTGATCATCAAAGAGCACCAGAACGGTCTGAAACTTCCCCAGGAGCAGATGTCTTCATGATGGATTCAACCGTCTCCAGTTGTGTTGATAAGGACGGAGCCCTGGGTATACTTGCTGAGCAAGCGCTGGTTCATGAATGCCCCCCAACCCTTAACCACGACGTAGCAGCGCCTGTGGGAATGCACTGGAACACGAGCTGTCTCTCCTCCTCGCTCCAGCCCAGTCCGTTCTCCTGTGGGTAACTTTGATGCCGAAATTAACACCTTAAACACTGAGGTACAGCTAATGTTTCTGTGTTCATGTTGAGTCAGTCGGTTTTGTTTTAAGCTCCAGCGTGGGACCTGATGCACCAAGATGGTGTCTAAAAATCAAAAACTGAAAATAATTTGTATATTGTGAGACATTAAGCTAGATGAGTCGTAGTGGATAAAGCTCATAACGCCAAGGTTTAAATGTTTTATACATCTGAAAACTAAAGTCTGCCACTCTTACTTTGAGTTGAAGGTCTTTATATCCGACCCTGGATGAACGAAGGGGTTGGGCGGACTTCAGAGCTGAGAAGACCCTGAACTACACTTGGTCTTGATCTCCATGCATGTGTCCTAGGTCTCAGCAGCACTCTGGGCATTACTGTTGGGTTCTGAGCTACACTGATTTTTTTTTTCAGCAATATAATTGTCTGACTTTGTTTTCTGATTTGTTTACATTCTCTAAAAAATAAACATTGATAAATCAGTTGAGTAAAATCTGAGTTGCTCTCCATTTTACAGTGTTAAGCCAAACACAAACATGGTGGCAAATTCAATATGTTAGACATTAAACGTAGTCCTTTGATTAATGCTCAGACCAACCAGATTGTTCATTAAATGTATATTTTTGAACATCACAGTTTAAAAGCATTGAAATGCACAGACTTGTTCCAGCAGTGTAAAACCATCGAACGTCTGTCCTGCTGCTCTGGTTTATGTAGACGGAGAACAAAATGTACGCAGGAAGTTAAACGGGACATCCCAGACTGTACAAAGCAAAATGTTGTTTTGTTAAAGCAGCATTGGAAGATTATTTTTATTTATAAACATACAGCATTGAAATTTTACTAATATTGTCAGAACATGTACCTGGGGAGTGGCTTAATCTGCTTGTTTTGGTGACAATGCAGAAAAAAACTTGAGTGAAAGGCAAACATTTTTCATTACAAGCTATTCTTAAATCTGGAGTGGTTGGTCCAAAAATGTGGCTTTAGATCTTTCACCGATGTTTCAGTCAGCAAATCTTCTGAAGGAGGAGAGCTGTGAACAAGAAGAATCCATCACAGCCGTTGGCAGTTCCTGGGTAAAGGGAATGGGTTCAAGATCACAGGGTGACTTTAAACTTAGTTTGTACAAATGAATAAAACAAGACTTAGCATTCCTAAAATGTAGAGTGAGTACGGAAAGTGTTTAGACCCCCGTCAATTTTTCACGCTTATATTGCAGCCATTTGCTGAAATCAATGACTTTTTTTCTTCACTGTACACACACCACTCCGTATGGATAGAAAAACACTGAATTTTAGACATTTCTGTGAAGTTCTTAATGACAAACTGAAAAATCACATGGTCCTAAGTATTCAGACCCTTTGCTGTGACATTTAACTTGGGTGCTTCCATTTCTTCTGATCATCCTTCAGATGGTCCTACAACTTCATTGGAGTCCAGCTGCGTTGTGATTATACTGATTGGACTTGATTAGGAAAGCCACACACCTGTCTATATGAGACCTTACAGCTCACAATGATGTCAAAGCAAATAAGAATCATGAGGTCAAAGGAACTGCCTGAAGGGCTCAGACAGAATTGTGGCTAGTAGTGATGGTGAGATGAAGCTTTCCATCCATCTGGTCAACTCTTGATTTGAGGCACGTGATGATTAATTTGCTCTATTTCGCCATCAAGTGCACGATTCGAGTAAAACTGTAAACCTTTAAACTGTAAAAAATAAATACTTATGATGGCAATATGTTAATATTGTCTTAAACTGTCCTTTTAATGTGCTGTCTGGTCCAAAACAGAGAGGAAACTAATGGGCCATTCCCATCTGTACCGGGTCGGCCCGGGCCAGGTAGCCCCAGTCGGCCCCAGCCTGGCCCGGTTGATTCCACACATCCTTGCCATAAGCCCATGTGGGCTGATTCTACCCACCAATCAGAGGCTTGCTCTAATCGTGAATTTGCTGTCAGCAGTGAGTGTGTTGGCCCTGGTCGGACTGAAGCAGACCCCCTCGAGAAGAGGGCTGAGAATGAGCCTTGGTTGGCCCGGAAAAATACCAGGCCACCCAGATATGTAAAGAACCTACGCTACCCGGCCATAATGGGCCATTCCCATCTGTACCGGGTCGGCCCAGGCCGGGTAGTGTAGGTTGTTTACATATCTGGATGGCCTGGTATTTTTCCGGGCCAACCAAGGCTCATTCTCAGCCCTCTTCTCGAGGGGGTCTGCTTCAGGCCGACCAGGGCCAACACACCCACTGCTGACAGCAAATTCACACCTTCCATTAGAGCAAGCCTCTGATTGGTGGGTAGAATCAGCCCACATGGGCTTAAGACAAGGATGTGTGGAATCAACCGGGCCAGGCTGGGGCCGACTGGGGCTACCCGGCCCGAGCCGACCCGGTACAGATGGGGATGGCCCATAAAAGGACATAGGGTTTCAACAGCACAATGTGACGGTGGGAATCAGCAGTGTTTGGCTACCCCTTTGATTTTGAATCCGGCGCGAACCGGCGAGCTAGTTCCTGAATCGGTCATGTGGTGCAGACTGCCAACAAGGCCTTGAACGTCTCCGCTTATGTAATCAACACAAGCTTCGATACGTGCTTCACAAATCTTCCTGGATACCCGACGCACGCTTCCAAATGTCGACCGGACACATCGCTAGTGGCAAGGCACAGATCTGGCAAGGGTTAAACATCTTTGCTGCATTTAAGGTTCCTAAGAGCTAAGTGGCCTCCATAATCCTTAAATGGAAGACGTTTGAGGTGACCAGAACCTTTCCTAGAGCAGGCCGTCCGGCCAAACTGAGCTACCAGGGTAGAAGAGCCTTGGTGAGAGAGGTAAAGTAGAACCCAAAGATTACTGTGGCTGAGCCCCAGAGATGCAGTCAGAAGATGGTTGATTTTCTACAACTTCCTTCCATCACTGCAGCCCTCCTCCAGTCAGGGCTTTATGGCAGAGTGGCCTGTCAGAAGCATCTCCTCAGTGCAAAACACTTGAAAGCCTGCATGGAGTTTGCTAAAAGACACCTGAAGGACCCAGAGATGGTGAGAAATACAATTCTCTGGTCTGATGAGACCAAGATGGAACTTTGTGGTCTTAATTCTAAGCGGCATGTGTGCTTGCTCATCACTTGACAGTACAGTCCCCACAGTGAAGCATGGCGGTGGCAGTGTCGTGCTATAAAAAATCCAGGATGGCTGCACATGGGTAGTTGCTTTTAGTTTGTCTAAGTTTTTTTTCTCTTTCTATATGTTTGTTGAGCCTTTTTTAATTTTATTTATTTTTTGTTATTTTTGACCTTAGTTACAAACTAACTATTTAAACAAGGAGTGGAACACTATATTTCATAAGATCTCATCCTCCTGATTACCTGCTACCAGTTGCTGAGGAGCTGCTAAGCAGCTAAGGTCTCAACCTCCTGGCTACATGCTGCCAGCTATAAGCTGCCTGGATCTGCTGAGTTCTACTGGATCTGCTGTGGCCTGCCTGTGCCGACTGGCCTCATCCTCCTTGGTTACCTGCTGCCAGCTGCTTGCTGCAAAGTTCTGCTGAATGCTGCTGGATCTGTTACTGCTGCAGCCTGCTTGTGCTGACTAGGTTGGTTGACCCTCGCTGCTTGCTGCCATTGTTGTCCTGACCGACTGCTGTTCGCTGCCTACTGCTGGAGGGCTGTAGGATCTGCTGCTGTTGCTTCTGCCTGCGCTGACCTGGTTGATCAGTCAGCCCTCACTAACCAAAATGGCTCTCTTTCTGCTGAGTTTTGATTTGGGGACACGGGTACATGAACATCTCTGAGGAAACCTCCGTATTGAAGGCTCCCCCCCCCCTCCCCCTTTTGTTCCCAGTGAGACTTGCTTCCAGCCAGATCTACTTGTGCAAAAATCACAACTACAGGTCCTCTACAGTGTTCCTTCTGAATCACTCCTTCGATCCTTGTGCCTTGCAGCTTAGGCCTAGTCCACACGTAGCCGAGTTTTTTTAATAACGAATATCCGCCCCTCCAAAAACTTGCATCCACACCACCTCGTTTAAAGAAAAAATCTCTGTCCACACGTACCCGGATAAATACGTTGTTAAGGACATGCCAGACCTGTAGGCGGCAGTACTTCCCCCGTTCTTAACCTCGTCCTTCGTCTGTGGTCTTCCGCAAGGAGCAGTAATTCCGCTTGCAAAAACAAACAAGCAGAAAGCGCTTGGACAATTGATAAAGCGAGCGCAGCTCTGAGGGCATCCATGCTGTCGGCTAGTGTAAACACAGGTCGCACACGTGATGTCAGCATTTTTTTGTCGCGGAAAGTGACGTTGCGGACCTTAAAACTCTGGTTTTGTCTGTCCACACGCAGACACCCAAAACGGAGAAAACGCAGATCTTCACTTTGGCCGGAGTTTTTAAAAAGATCCGTTTTCGTGTGGATGACAGGCCAAAACGTAGGAAAATATCTACGTTTTGGCAGATCCCCGGCTACGTGTGGACAGGGCCTTAGAAAAGTTTTACTGCTTTATCGGACAGTGAACTAATGCTTCTTTTTTTTAACATTTTACACACTAAAAATGCTAAGAGCCATGGTGCAACTATGAAACGGAGGTACTTGATTATTATGCTTTTAATCATCTGTGGTGATGTGCAGCCAAATCCTGGCCCAGCTAATGTCGACCCTAAGATCTGCAGTACTCCAGCTGATTTTAAAAACAGATCTGGGCTGGGTATTATTCATCTGAATGTGCGAAGTATGCTCCCTAAGGTTGACTTCCTACGTATTTGGGCCAACTCTACTGATGCAGATATTACAATTCTGTCAGAAACATGGTTTTCTAAATCAGTTTCAGGTGAAGACATTGCAGTCAGTGGATATGTTATGATCCAGGCTGTCTAGGGGGCCTGGGGTAACAATGAGGGCGCATGTTCTCATGCCAAAAGTAACAAAACAACATTTATTTACATAAATATAAACTCAAAACACAGATTAACAAGACACTTCAGCAGCAACGCAAAACGAGTAACAACTAAACTCTCATATTAACCAAATTAATACCAAAACTACGAAAGACCATCACATAATTTCCTAATTTCTGAGTGATATTTAAAAAAAGTGAAGGGGTAAAGTTTCCTTTACCTCTAAAAAGGGCGAACAGTTAAACACAGAGAGTTTTAAGCTCCCACCAAAGTTATTACATAAAATTTAACAAAACCAAAAGCTGCTGAAGAGACAACAGACCAGAGTGAACCTCCCTGGCCTGCTGCCCCCTGAACTGAGGGCCTGCTGCTGGTCATCAGGATCAACTGAGGCCCTGTCCACACGTAGCCGGGGATCTGCCAAAACGTAGATATTTTTCTACGTTTTGGCCTGTCATCCACACGAAAACGGACTTTTTTTCACACGAAAACGGATCTTTTTAAAAACTCCGGCCAAAGTGAAAATCTGCGTTTTCCCTGTTTTGGGTGTCTGCGTGTGGACAGACAAAACCGGAGTTTTAAGGTCTGCAACGTCACTTTCCGCGACAAAAAAATGCTGACATCACGTGTGCAACCTGTGTTTACACTAGCCGACAGCATGGATGCCTTCAGAGCTGCGTTCTGTCACTACCCAATCCATCAATTGTCCAAGCGCTTTCTGCTTGTTTGTTTTTGCAAGTGGAATTACTGCTCCTTGTGGAAGACCACAGACGAAGGACGAGGTTAAGAACGGGGGAAGTACTGCCGCCTACAGGTCTGGCATGTCCTTAACAACGTATTTATCCAGGTACGAGTGGACAGAGTTTTTCTTTTTAAATGCGGTGGTGTGGATGCAAGTTTTTGGAGGGGCGGATATTCTTTTTCAAAAAACCCCGGCTACGTGTGAACTAGGCCTGAGAGAATCTAACCGGGAGGCGATCCAGTGAGATTGGAGCCAGGTGCTGCATCTCCTCTCACACACACACACAGGGAAAAACCCAAATGGCTCTGAGCCATAACAGGATACCACATTTTTAGAACCGACCGGCTTCACAAGGCCGGGGGTGTGGCAATATATGTAAAGAGCAAATGTAAAGCTAATGTAGTTATGTCCATATCTGTAAGTAAACAACTTGAATTTCTGGCCCTAAATGTTGAGGTGTACAAAGGCATGACTTGCTGGATGCTACAGACCGCCCTCGGCGTTAGCTAACACCCTTCAAATGCTGTCGTAGCTTTTATCACAGCTGAAATACAGTGATGTTATCCTAGCAAGAGATATGAACTGGGACTGGTTCAAATCTGCTTCAGATGGATTGAAGAATCATTGCAGTGAATTAAATCTTACACAGTTAATTAAGTCTCCCACCCGCCTAAATCCAAAACATCCAGAGAAATCTACTCTAATCGATTTGCTATTGGCAAATGCTCCTCACAAATTTTCTGAAACCGGAGTGTTTGCTAGTGACATCAGTGCATGGTTGCTGCAATTAGAAATGCTAAAATTCCTAAACTTGAGCCTAGATGTATTGAAAAACGTGATATGAAACATTTTTCACGATAGACGTGTGATTTATTTCATTTTGACTGAGACTGCATAAGGCTTACTCATGATGTTGAAATAGCCTGGAAATATTTTCAGGATGGATTTTTGATGCTTGTCAACAAACACACTCCTTTGCGTAAGTTTAGAGTCAAGGGCCAAGACAACCCTCGGTTTTCTCCGGAGCTCAGCAAACTTCTTCACGGAAAAGATTCGGCTTGGTTAAAGGCCTGGATATCAGAGACAGAGGCTGATGAGATCGTTTTCAGATGATTACGAAACAAGTTCACGGCGGCCGTCCGACATGCCAAATCTGAATACTGTCTGACGGCTGCGACAGACGCTTTAAATAACCCTAGGGCTTTCTGGAAGACTATCAAGTCTATTTCCTCTGTTGGATCTCATACTAATAATACATTTTATTTAAAAAAAGAAAAAGTGCCTTTCTGGTCACTCAAGGACACTGTACAGAATAAAAACACAAATCATTCAGTAAGTAAACATACGTTAACATGAACAAACAAGGCACTCTAAAATTCAAAGCTGATATGTGGTTATGAAGAGGTGAGTTTTGAGTTGAATTCTGTGAATGAGTTAATGTTCATGACGAGAGGGGGAAGGGAGTTCCAGAGTTTGGGAGCGGTGCAGCTGAAGGCTCTACTCCCCATGGTGTTGAGACGGAAGGAGGGCACAGAGAGATGAATGGAGGAGGAGGACCTGAGGGAACGGGACGAGGTGACGATGTGAACGAGATCTGTGAGGTAGTGAGGGGCGAGGTTATGGATGGCCTTGAAGGTGAGAAGGAAAATCTTGTAGTTAATCCTGGTGTGCACTGGTAGCCAGTGGAGTTGTTTGAGGATGGGGGTGATGTGATGAGAGATGGGAGTTTTAGTAATGATGCGTGCTGCTGCATTCTGAACCAACTGGAGCTTACGGAGGGTTTTCTGAGGGAGGCCTGAGAGAAGAGAGTTGCAATAATTGATACGTGATGTAACCAGACTATGGACAAGAATAGAAGTAGAGTGGACATCAAGGGAGGGGCGAAGACGATTAATGTTACGAAGATGGAAATAAGCTGACTGTGTGATGCTATTGATGTGAGATTGGAAGGATAGTGTGCTGTCTAGGATGACGCCCAGACTCTTGACCTGGGGAGAGGGGGAAACTGAAGTAGTATCAACTGAACTGCCTCCCCATATAATTAGGGATAGTATTATTAACTCAGACAGTTTAACTATATTAGAAGGTTTTAATGAACATTTTGTTCGTTTGTTTTTAATTGTTTTCAACATCCAGAAGGCGCCCCCCACCCCCCAATGGTAATGCTGCTGAAAGACACTATGTTGGTCAGTCTTTTACTTTTACTCCTTTTTCCGTTAATGAAGTACATAAAGCTCTTGTGTCGTTGGACATCAAAAAGCCTGCTTTTACATGGACACGCGGGTTCAGAAAATGGATGGATGGATGGATGGATGGATGGATGGATGGATGGATGGATGGAAGTTTAGTCAGGAAACTTAGGTTAAAACGATGGTTCTGTTTTAGGAACAGGGCTTGTTTTCCTCTTCCAGCAAGGAAGAAGCTGGTTGAGGCCACTTTTCTGTCCCTCATGGACTATGGTGATTTTTTATATATGCATGCGCCCAACAAATATCTGTATCAATTAGATTCAGTTTATCATGGAGCACTGAGATTTATTACAGGGTGCAAAGATTAGCTCAGCGTAGGCTATCCAGGTGGCGACTATTTATATATAAAGCCATCATCAGGATGTTGCCTCTTTATTTATATAGGCTTCTGACTTTCAAGTCCAGCACTCGCTCACTTCTGTCTAATGCTAATCTCCAGCTGGCTGTGCCTAGAGCTCGTACAGAATTAGGTAAGCAAGCATTTAGGATATCTGCTCCATCAGCCTGGAACTAGCTACAGAATCAGTTAAAACTAGAAAACCCAGTCTCTTTTGGTCAATTTAAGTGGCTAGAGGAACAGGAAGCAGGCACATTCGGCCTCTGTCCCTGCTTCCGAAGTGGTTGATGTCAAGACGAAAACTTCCATTCCCTAATGATGATTGAATCACTGTAATACTAATGCATCATGTCTGGTATGTTTTCCCCATTGTATGTGTGTGTATGCTGGTGCGTACATTTGTGTACGTGTACATGTACACATACGTGCGTGTGTGTGTGTGTGTGTGTGTGTGTGTGTGTGTGTGTGTGTGTGTGTGTGTGTGTGTGTGTGTGTGTGTGTGTGTGTGTGTGTGTGTTATTTACTAATTTTGGTCGAACTCCTGTAATGTTAGAATTTTATGTTTTTACTTTCATTGCTTTTACTAACTGTATTTTTTAATGGGATTTTTATGGCGGTCTTCTTGGCCAGGGCACCTTTGCAAAAGAGACTTGTTCTCAAAGGATTTCCCTGGTTAAAAAAGGGTTAAATAAAAAATTTAAAAATATATATGGGGGTGTTTTTCAGCTGCAGAAACATGACGACTGGTTGCAATCAAGGGAACGATGAACGTGGACAAGTACAGGGATATCCTAGACAAGAACCTTCTCCAAAGTGCTCAGGACCTCAGACTGGGCCAAAGATTTACCTTCCATCATGACAATGACTCTAAGCACACAGCTAAAATAACAAAGGAGTGGTTTCACGGCAACTCTGTTCTTAAATGGCCCAGCCAGAGCCCCTAACTAATACCCAATTGAGCATCTATGGAGAGGCCTAAAAATGGCTGTCCACCAACGTTCACCATCCAACCTGACAGAACTGGAGAGGATCCTCAAATCCAGGTATAAGAAACTTGTTGCATCTTTACCAAGAAGACTCATGGCTGCATAAGCTCAAAAGGGTGCTTCTACTAAATACTGAGCAAAGGGTCAGAATACTTAGGACCATGTGATTTTTCAGTTTGTCTTTTTTAATAAATCTGCAGAATTTTCTAAAATTCAGTGTGTTTCTGTCAATTTGGGGTGCTGTGTGTACATTATTGAGGAAAAAAATAATTTAGTTGATTTTAGCAAATGGCTGCAACAGTGAAAAATTGACAGGGGTCTGAATATGTTCCGTACCCAGTGTATGAATTTAAAACGTACCACTCCCAGTCCCTCCTAATCGCTGGCGGTTTCCTGGTTCTTCACATTGTTTTTCGTTTTCCTGTAGCTTTGTAGAAGAAACCAGCTCTGAAGCTGCTGAAAAGGAACACAAAGTCACAACAGAAGTTGTGTTTCTTCTGAATTTACACTTTTGAGCTTGTGTTTGATTTACTCACAGAGGACCAGAGCAGTGAGGTTTTTTGAGCTCTCTACTGGAGGATGTTGTGGTCCATCAGGTCCCAGATCTAGCTTGGCGTCACACCAGTACTGGGTCCCATTGTCCTCTCTGTGTGGAATGATGACCAGACTGTAGCTCTCATTTACTGGTGTCTTCTCCGTGGCGTTGTCTAACTGGAGTTGACCCAGTGCCGTGCCTCCTTTGTAGAAGGTCACGGTGACATTTGAAGCAGGTGCAACGTCCTGAACTGTGCACTGCAGCGTGTACTGACCACCCTCCACCATCGGCCCAGTGTGGTTTAAAATTGTGATGGAAACTCCGTTTGGAGGCTCTGTGAAGACGAAACAACTCCTCAGCATGATACGTGTGGTCGCACATTGAAATAAATAAAATTTTAACTTACGATAAACTATTAAAGAGGGTGAAACGAAGCACTGCCCTCCCACGTCAGAGACGGCGTAACAGAGAGGCACGATGGTCCAGTCAGTCATGCTTTCCACACTCCAGACCAGAAAGTCTTGTGTGGTGTGTAATGGACTTGTCGTCTAGATTTGGATAAAGTCACAAACACAAATATATTTCATTAAAAAAGGACCAAATTGATCATGTGTATGGTGCAGTGTTCCATCTTTGGATTGTGTCACATGTTGCGGGTGCATTCGACAAATAACTGAAGGGGTGGTTTAGTAAATCACCACTGATACATTTTATTCCCCTACCGGTGAGGCGACCCAGCCCAGGAACAAGAACTCTGTTCTTGTTTTCGAGCAGTTGATTTTGACCGGATCTCCATACCTATTGCAGGAGTTCACACACACCATCAGTTATGGGCAAGTTTGATAAAAGCGAATTTAATATGTCAGATCAGAGCAATAGGCTTAGAGTTAACTATTTCCCATACCTGACCACCAGAACAGAAGGTGAAATTGTCAGATCACACCCAGACGAGTCTGCGGCCTCTGCAGAGCTGCTGATGGAGGTGGGGCCCAGGTGTGTGATGCTGAGAGAAGAGGACAGGAGGTTGGTCGGGAAGGGAGATGGAGGTGAAATTTGTGTTGAAAAGGGAGGTGCTGGCGTTTGACCGAGAAGAGGGGAGGGCGTGGCTAAGGGAACAGAGAAAGCATAACGAAAGTTACTCAGTCATCAAACTAAAGATAAGACAAAGTTAAAGCTTCTAGACTTGAATGTCTCTTGATCTTAATTTGTAAGTAACTCGTGCAGCAAAAACAGTACAGGAGACGAGAAAGCCAGATGATTTTTATCAATGTAATAAGGTGTGAAGCTGAGATCCCACGGAGATGAGATGATTCGTTTTGCCACGAGCAACAGAAATATTCTATTCAGGTAATGACCGGAAAATTTTAAATATGGGGCTTAACAGGTCTGTCACTTAAAGACTCCTCCATTAGTCAGAGCTGGAGAGCTTAAATCTTAAAAATGTCAGAACCGCTTTGTGAGGCTGGGCGATTCCAACTAATTGAGTTTGGTGGTCTAAAAAATCGGGAAAAGTAGGCAGGATGCTGTCCGAAGATGCCATGGGAATCCTGGTGATGTTGGGATGAATGGTAATTAGAAGTAGTTAAACCACCTCTAAATCCAAGACCATGGTCTTGAGTCTGAGTGTGAGAGCTGAGCCAGAAGATGAAGCTCTCGATTTACCGGTGGATCTACGTTCCCACCCTCACCTATGAGCTTTTGGTAGTGACTGAAAGAAGATACAAGCGGCCGAAATTAGTTTTTTCACAGGGTGTCTTGGCTCTCTCTTAAAGATAGGGCGAGAAGCTCAGTCATCTGGGAGGGGCTCAGAGTAGATCTGCTGTTCCTCCATGTCAAGAGGAGCCAGTTGAGGTGACAACTGCTTAGGATGCCTCTTGGTGAGGTTTTCTGGGCACGTCCAACCAGGAGGAGACCTAAAGGAAGACCCATGATATAATGGAGGGACTATGTTCATCAGCTGGCCTGGAAACACCTTTGATTTCCCTGGAGGAGTGGGCCCAAACAGCCTGAGATAGGGAAGTCTGGGCCTCTCTGCTCTGGCTGCTACCCCTGCGACCCCACCCCAGATAAGTGGAGGAAAAGTGCTCTAGGTACCCGGCCACTTTGAGCCAAAAGTTAATCAGACCTGTAGCCTGTTGTCACTTCACCAAAGAGAGGAGCACAGCTGTCAATTGGTCATCTGGCGATGGTCTGGGAGCATTTAGCAAAGGCCCCAGACCTAGACTTCTCCTGAAGCAGCGGACAGACGCAGAGCTGCAGCTTGTGTGGTACAACCTTTGTTTTCAATGTCGCTTTGTTGTTTGAACATAATGAACCGCTGCAACAGACTTAGTGTTTAGACATTCATAAGTGTCTTTCAAAGTGAGTCTGCTGTTTCAGATCTTCAGAAATACAAATCCTCTGATTGCCTCTCATCCCCCTGTCTCTGCATTTATGATGTGTACTCCAGAAATAGAACTGAACTTATGAATGCAGGGATGTTTCTCTTCACATATTTATCTTGGCATGGTGTGAACTCGTGAGTCACATTCTCCTGCCTAATACCGGCAGGGTCAACTGAAAGTTGCCATCTTGTGAAATAATACTGTTTTTGCTGATCTGTTGTGTACCATTGTTTCAAAGCACACTGAATACACCCATGTGTTCCTCTAAGGAAGGAAGGACACCCTGCCCAAGTGAAAAGAACCTACTCCTCTTTTGAATTGACCATTGTTCCACCCAATCCTGAAGTTGTTCTCCCATCTATCAGATGATCTTACTCACAAGTGCTGCTTGTCAAAATGTATTGTTGTGTTTCCCACTTGCCAGTCTGCCACATGTTACCAGACATGTTTACTCAAACGGTCTCTCCTGAAGAGCTATCGTTTTAGCCATATTTGCATTTAAAACCACAATAAAGCTCACCGGTCACTACTTGATCGTTCTGAACAAATATTTATAGCCTATGATTAATAAAAAAAACAGATTTTAGCATTTTTTTTCTAGATTCACATTGAGGGTAATTTAGCTTTTTTTTATTAAACTATTAAGGTTAAAAGTCGAGGAGTAATCTTATAAAATGAACTAGAATTAAATTATTTGGGTAAGAAACTGAAAACAGTTGTCTGAAAGCTGTATTCCAGTGCAGAACTAGATGTTTTCATCAGTGGTTCCCAACCTTTTTTATAAGGTCCCCCTTTTTCTGTGTCCAAAACAAACTTCTTTTATTAAAGTGATGCCCTGAAACGACTCATTCTGGAAGATACTGAAAATGTCAAAAATAAAACTGTTAAAATTGCTTTATGTGAGAGGGATTTATTCATGGAACTTCATAAACATATGTTATCAACCATAAAACAATTATTCAAAGGTTGAATATGGAACACGAACACCATAGTGACATCTAGGAGGTGGAGGTTGTAGTTGCAACCACAGAACCAGGTTTCCAACCATCAGAATCACAGGATTTCCTGCTGATGTGTGAAGTGACTAGCCAGCCAGCACCATGTCCAGTGACAGGGTAAGGACTAATGTCCACTAATAAGTTTATTGTATAACAGTATTTAACGTTAGAACATCTTCTGGGCTCAGAAGCAGCTGCCTGACTTGTCACATCCACCATTTTCCACAGCGCCAGCCTCACTATGCTGAGCGGACTAATTACCGTATTTGGCAACCTACAATGGTGCCCTCTGCTGGCTGGTGCATGTAAACATAAACCCAGTATTGTGCCCGTCCAAAAAAATAATAATAATAATTCAGTATTTGAAATACTGGAGCTTCATTCTGCACACCTCTAAACTGAGGAATTTTTTAAATATAGCTTTTTAATAAACTGTTCCAAATTAATCATAACACGTCTCTTTTAACCCTTTGATGCATGAATTATGAAATCTTCAACCATGACTTTTTAACAATTTTTTTCTTTTGTCTTTAGGTGTGAATGAAACAAATTTCAACAAATATTTTTTGTAAAATTTTATAATTTACAAATAATTTATTACATGCAGTGGGCAGTGTGCATTCTGAACATGAAATATGTTGGCTTGGCTTACTGAAGTCCAACTGGAGAGGCTCAAATGCAATAAAGTCTTCAATAGCTGTGCTTAATAGCAAAAACAAATAAATAACAATTTTGAGTACCTGTCCACTGTAGTGACCATTATGCATCAAAGGGTTAAAATCAAATTTAAGATAAACTTCCAAGTTTCACTCAGTGCCATAACAGTGGTTGCAAATATATTACTCTTTAACGTCACAAGAAAACAAACTTTACCTTTCAAATCTTACTCCCTGTCCTCTTCTGTTTCTCTAAAGAAAACTATATCATTAGATTCTCTCTTAAAGCTCATCCAGGTGTCATTCAACTCACCTGAGGAAAAAAGATGAATCAGCACAAGCGCGACTGGCCATCCAGGATCACTCATCCTTTACTAGTTTCCTTCACTCTGCTGAGAGGAAAGGCGGAGATAAAGGTCACCAACCACCTGATACGCTCCGCTGCTGACAGGACCCCAGACTGAGAGATCTGAGAAACAGCTTCAGGCTTTTCTGAAAGTGTGGGTGTGTCTGCAGCTGATGGTCAGGCAGCTTTGCTCTGGACTCCGAAAGCCACCCTGGGCGTTCTCTGTTGATATCAGGAGAGGAAGGAAGGGAGGTTCAAGAATAAATCAGTGTAATGCGGAGTGGGAGGCATGAATAAGTCTGCATATCTGTGTCTGTAAGTGACTACACATATCAAAGGTAGATGTGATAAAAAGTCATTAGCCATCATCACAGACTGGTGGAATTCATGGTAGAACATCTGGGAGGTTTTTGTCTCCTTTATTAAATCTAATGTCATAAAGGTGTTTCAATCACTGTACAGGTAACCTCAGTATGATGTTTGGCTTATTTCAGCCCACAGATTTGGTGGTTTTTCATTCTGTTTTTCTAGTATACTCCTAAAACCGAGTTGTGGTTCTTGAAGGATAACTCTTCAAATCAAAGCTGTTACGTGAGATCATCTGAGCGGCAGGGAAACACATTTCAAACACGGAACCGAGTCCGGCTACCGAACCGAGCAGAATTCTGATTACGTCACACCGGTGCGCGAAGGTGCGGGATCCAACCCACAGGAGATCAATTTCCCTCTGGGATAAATAAAGTATTTTTGAATTTGAATTGAATTTGAATTTGAGAGGAGGGAGAGAGGAGGTAAAAAGCGAGTGGATCACAGGGTCTGAACTGATGTTTTTGAGCAAAACTGCGGTAAAAATGGCTGTTTGTCCTCATTATCAAGTGTACAACCCCCCCCCCCCCCCCCCCCCCAAGGTTTAGAAGCAGCGCTCATGCAGGTTCTGTTCCGACGCTGCTACACGTAATATTTGTAATTTATTAAGCCTGCAATTTATTTTTACTCAGTAATGGATATGATTTAAAATGTAGCGAATTACAATTCTTTTTTTAAAACGTACTCAAGTAAAAGTAAAAGTACGGATTTTAAAAACAACTTAAAAAGTATAAATACACAAAAAGCTACTCAGTTACAGTAACGTGAGTAAATGTAACTAATTTGTTACTTTCCACCTCTGCATATATATGTCGATGCTTGACCCTCACTTTCAGTTTCAGAGGAAAAGGAAGTCGTTCATTCAGTCAGAAAGGCAAACATAGGACAGAGACAAGGCAAGGAGCGTAATTACACAACCATAAACAATCCTGCATCTCTACGAAACAAAGTGTTAGGAGGCCCGTCACTGATGTCTTGCTGTTAAAGAACAAACGTCTGATGCCCTGATTTTTGTTTAATTCTAAGAAAAATAAAGGCACATGGTGATTGATCCAGTTACTCAGGACAACCAACATTTTCTTTTTTATGTGGTGAGAAATGTATAAAACTAGAAAATCCAGTGATTATTGTGCAAGGTTACACAGAACTGATGATAAAGAGTAAAATGGCAGAAAATTCAGATTTTATTCCTACAAATCTGTGACTAAAATGAGGCACCCCTGCTTCTCACAGCTGTTGTGTTGGTGTTACAGCGCCCCCTGTAGGAGAAAGGTGGAGCTTACAGCACCTGTAGGTGGATTGAGATGGACGGATGCAGCACCACTCTTACTCCACTGACATCACAATGTAACAAAAATGTCAGGAAATAACGTCCTGCTGCGTTTATTTTTTATTAAAATAATTTATAAATTTATTGTTACATCAAAACACAGTCATGTTTTTCCTGTTTAAAACACACATGTTGATAAAAATGTAAATGACTGTGTGTGTGTGTGTGTGTGTGTGTGTGTGTGTGTGTGTGTGTGTGTGTGTGTGTGTGTGTGTGTGTGTGTGTGTGTGTGTGTGTGTGTGTGTGTGTGTGCGCGCGCGCACAACAAGAACCTGTGCTGCACATGCATACTGCACCCTAGTGGAGGATCTACAGATCAGTAAATGAGATTTTTCTACACTCACCTAAAGGATTATTAGGAACACCTGTTTAACTTCTCCTTAATGCAATTATCTAATCAACCAATCACATGACAGTTGCTTCAGTGCATTTAGGGGTGTGATCCTGGTCAAGACAATCTCCTGAACTCCAAACTGAAGGTCAGAATGAGAAAGAAAGGTGAATTAAGCTATTTTCAGCGTGGCATGGTTGTTGGTGCCAGACGGGCCGGTCTGAGTATTTCACAATCTGCTCGGTTACTGGGATTTTCACCCACAACCATTTCTAGGGTTTACAAAGAATGGTGTGAAAAGGGACAAACATCCAGTATGCAGCAGTCCTGTGGTCGAAAATGCCTTGTTGATGCTAGAGGTCAGAGAAGGGGCCGACTGGTTCAAGCTGATAGAAGAGCAACTTTGACTGAAGTAACCACTCGTTACAACTGAGGGATGCAGCAAGGCATTTGTGAAGCCAACACGCACAACCTTGAGGCGGATGGGCTACAACAGCAGAAGACCCCACCGGGTACCACTCATCTCCACTACAAACAGGAAAAAGAGGCTACAATGTGTACCAGCTCACCAAAATTGGACAGTTGAAGAGTGGAGAAATGTTGCCTGATCTGACGAGTCTCGATTTCTGTTGAGACATCCAAATGGTAGAGTCATAATTTGGCGTAAACAGAATGAGAACATGGATCCATCATGCCTTGTTACCACTGTGCAGGCTGGTGGTGGAGGTGTAATGGTGTGGGGGATGTTTTCTTGGCACACTTTAGGCCCCTTAGTGCCAACTGGGCATGGTTTAAATGCCTTGGGCTACCTGAGCATTGTTTCTGACCATGTCCATTCCTTCATGACCACCATGTACCCATCCTCTGATGGCTACTTCCAGCAGGATGATGCACCATGTCATAAAGCTCAAATCATTTCACATTGGCTTCTTGAACATGACGAGACCGGTCAGATCTGGGATACGGCCAGAAGACCCGTGAGCCTGATCTGGACTCCAGGGAGAATGCTGAACATCTTCAGAAACAAAATCAGTTCAGTTTGTTTACTTTAGATGAATATTTCATTTCTAAGCTTGTAGCCCTCAGCTGGCGAGTTGTTAGCTGACCATTAGCCCCATCATACCGTCCCAATATAATTCACTAATCTATAGATAAAACAACGTGCTGCCAGTTGAACCGCTGCGTGTTTATATTGAAATAACTCCAGAACAAATTTAATCGATAGATCAGCAGAATAATTCCTCCTGACTGGGATGCTGCAGTAGCTCGCTAGCTTGTGTTTGTAGTAATCCAGGATGGTTGTGAGGTTCTACCGGTCTCTGGAGGATCTATTGTTGAAATATGTGGATCATCTTTAAGATCTTATCTGTGTGAGTGTGTCGTGGCTTTCCCAATTACTTTTCGCCTTGCTAACACAGTTAGCTGTGTTGCTGCAGTCATGCTAACGGGACTCGTCTGGAGTGCAGAAGGACCGGTAGCGGTTCCAGATAGATTTAGGTTATTATTTTAGGTCAAACCGTTAGTTACAATGTGTGTAGGACTCCGACATAGGGTTCAGACGTTTTGCTGCAACTGTAAACACAATTTTCTGTAATTATTGAATATGAAGTTGATTAAAATACAGCTAATCACGACGTACTAGCGGCATGAGCTGCCCTGTAAGACATCTTTTTAGTGACGTATGACAAACAGCTCTTCACTGTTTAGGGGAATTTAGATTTTTATGATGATTTATGACAAAATTCCTTAAAATGAATAACTGAACCTAGTTTATCTTTATGTAGATGGTAAAGTGTAGTGAAACAGCGTTAGTCTCAGTCGGCATAAGCAGCAGGGCCCTGCAGGGAATCGAACCCCGTCTCATTACTGAGAGTTCCGTTACCAGAGCCTTTTGCTTTGGGCGACGCGAGACGGTAAAGCAAAACCTGCATCAACAAAGCATTTAATGTTGGAACATAAATTCTGTCTTGAAGCAGGAAAAAAGAAACCGTCAGACTAAATAATTATTTCCAATTAAATTCATTTTAGTATTTTATAAACGTTTTACAGATTTAGAGCCTCCTTTGACTTTTATGCTTTTCGTTAACTTCTCGTTCTTTTACGATGTTTATCCGTTCTTTAGTCGCGGTCAAACGCATCGTAATTTTGTTCTGCGGTGAATCTTAAAGTTATGTTGAATGTAAATAATCTGAGTCTTTATTGCTTTAATTTAACAGCACAGTAACTTGTTAAAATATTCAAGTTAATTTGAATCATTTACATGTTTAGACTATATTTTATTAGCCTTTAATATTTTAGTATTTATTGTTTAACTTTTGTAAAGAGCTATTTTTAAACGCGTGCACATTTAAACACTAAAACCTTTGTTTGCTCCGTCTGTGTCAGAGCTCTGCTGTTCAGCTCCTTCCTGGTTCCTGCAGGACCACAAAGCCCAGAGAAGCTCAGTCCAGCAGGACGTGAGGACACAAACAGACACGGAGTGCTCCTCCTAAACCTGGAATCAAACTTTTCTACAGATTATTTAGAACAGTTTCTTGTGGCAGAACAGTTAGTGAAACAGAAAGGACATGATGAAGATGATGTTATCGTCCTTGTCCTTCATACGGATCAAAGATCACCCCAGCTTATGCTCATGTCACCAAGTAAACGTCCCATTTCTCACTAAGACCTGCTCTATCTGCTCTACCAGATTATCAGGAGCATCACTGTAGTTGTAGTTTTGCCTCCATCTTCCTGCCCTCCTTGGTCTCTTGTTTATCTTCTACCACCTCTCACCATCCATCTCAGGTGGGATCTTGTTTGCTCCGACGGCCTCTTGTGTTCCAGGCTTACATCTTTTAGTGAACGTTAGAATATCATGTACTAATATATATGCATGTGTGTGTGTGTGTGTGTGTGTGTGTGTGTGTGTGTGTGTGTATGATGCTAAACCAGACTGCCTGCTCCATCAGATGAAAAGGAAATCCTCTCAGGACCAAAATAAAATAGAAGATTTAGCAACCAGACACAGAAGCCCAGGTGAAACCGTCCACATCAGCATCTCCAGTTCTACCAGCTCTAAAAACACACTTCTTAAATAATAAAACACTAAACTCAGCCAACGGATGAAGACGTCCTGGTGCCAGATGCTACCTAAGACATCACCAGTTCAGCTGACTTGATAAA